ATCGACGAGAAAATTTCCCCGCGGGTGACGATGACAGAGGCCACATCGGTTATAAATACGGCCCTATTATTATGCAACCAATTTTGACTGCGCCTTCACACAATCCACGAGGACAGTTAATGCAACCCGCATGATTGATGACAATTCTTTTACTTAGGTTGGTAGATTTATATCGATTGGTCAAGTAATAGTGTTAGTTTAGTTTTTGTAAACTACATGAACTATAGGTTTGACAAATTTTCATAATAAAAAACGTAGCCTATTTTAATTCTCATATAAATATTGTTATGATAGGGGACCCGTGTGGCTGACCCTGCCCAAGTAGCAAAAATCGTTGGCCCAACGTTTCTGTCGATCGTTGGCCAACGGTATGTTTTGGCACTCAGTCTTACGGTTGGCCAACCAACCAATTTTTGCGGAAGGGCCAACCATCCCATTGGGCATAAACATAAAAAAAAACACAAAATAATAAAGATTTTGTATGCAAAGCATAATTATGAGTTGAGTAAATTGATCAAATAGTTCATAAAAACTTATTTTGAAAATAAAACGAAATAAATTTTTTGGCCGGGACGGGTCTCGAACCTGGTACCTTCAACATGTGAGCCTCACGCCTTACCTCTGAGCTAACTGTGCTAGTTGATAATGAGTGTTTTCAAGTGGTGAAAGAGTAGCCGACAGGTGCAATTGTCACAATTAATACTTTAAATATTTTTGATGCTACAGTATAATATGATTCTATTAATCTGTTTAGGCCTCAAGTAGTTGAATTGTTTTTCTGGTAGTTGGAGAGGATACTAGTATTTGAATATAGATTATTTAATTACCATTAGATTAGTAGGCTACTGTTATAATTGATCGTTATATAATTAATTAATCTTTTCTCTATAACTATTAAAAACTTGCTTAAATAAGTAAAAGAATATAAAAAAAAAAATTATAATAATTATTATATGTTAAGCAGGTGTTCCCCACTGTATCTAGTATCACAACATCATCTGACTACATTCATTATTGATCCAAATTTTTACAATATTTGTCTTATATTCTGCTGCCATAACATTTATGTACTTTTAAATAGATCAATTTGTTAAAATTCGTTTTAGAATGTTTTATACTTAAACCCAACGAATGCCCAACGAAGGCCCAACGATTCTTTCCTTTGTAGGGCCAACGAATACCAGTTTCCGTTGGGCCAACGTTGGCAAATCGTTAAAATTTCTGCCAACCATTTCCCAACCGTGCCGACCATTTCCCAACGTTGGGCCAACGATGTGTGCTACTTGGGTGTCACATTATCGCGGGCCCGTGTGCCGGTAAAATGTACCGAAAATCCCGGTAAAGGCTCACGGGCCCCCCTAGCTCGCGGCCCCCCCCGCACTGCGCCACCACTGACTACTACAGTACTATATAAAATTAGGTACAAAGGATTGGGACTGATAACATTTTCAGATTTCCTTCTTAAATGATTCCCACTCAGTTAAAGGTTGTTCCATTGATCACTGACTTTCTACTCCTCATTCTTAGTTTCATATCATACATTTATAATAGCCTATATTACAAAATGAGTCATGTTGTATATTCCTACTAAATGTCTGGACAATATTGATAAAAACCCGTTTTCATTATCTATTCTGCCATTCCGTGGTTTTATTTGTCTGAAATCCCTCTTTAACTATATTAACCTTATTTCTGACTCAAAATCACAATTCACCAATAAATTCGATAACATCCCAGTAATCCGCCAAAAATCCTCCAACAGACACAATCCGCCAAAAAAATCCTCAAGGCTTAGAAAAATCCCCAATTTGGCGAAAAATCCCCAAAATAAGTGGCAACACTGACCGCTATCGCTTGGACAATTTTGACACAATTTTTACGCTCCTCGTGAATAAACGCAGCCTAAAAATGGGGCTATGTTTTATCTATGGTTTAATAATCAAATTTGTCTTCGTTGTGAGCCACCTAAGTTTACAGATTGCGCTGACCTAAATGACTGATTTCTCTTGAATACACGATGGTTTTTACCAAAGTTAAACTGACGGAACTACTTATTATGAGCTATAGCAACTAACTGTTATGATCCATTAACTATGTCAGGAACAATATAGATAACGTCGGAAATAGAATTTTAGACACTAGCCCATTCTTTCACTGGCTCACACAACTACATTAATTTTTAATAAAAAAAATGGCGACAGCTGATCTATATAGATGTATTAATCATAGATAAAACATTTTTTTCATTCATTTATTCATTTCTACGGCAAATGCCATTAAACAATACATATCAAAACAAGATGGTCTGCAAAAATAAATACAAGAATAGCAAATATATATGGAACAATACATTCAAGAGACTAGACAGATTGTATAGAATGATCCGACTCATAGAACAAGTAGAATAAATAGTTGCAGACTAACCTTACAAGAGACATCATATTATACTAATTGTAACGATAGAATAAATACTCAATACAAAATATTATATACATGAAGAAGCAAAATATAGTTTAAGACTGACATTACAAGAGATATTCATATCACTAGTTATATAACAGAATAAATACCACAACAAGAAAAATAAAATACAAGACAGGAACAAGGCAAATTAATCAAATTTTACATTACTCATATTCTGTAACTTCGGTAGGATTCAACCAAGGAGCTCGAGAGCACACTTACGGACCCGTTGAAGACTGTCAAAGAATAGGTCACACTCCGACGCCACTTGGTTTCCCAGTCTTACAAAGCGAGCCAGAGGTCTGTAGTAGTCGTAGTTGGTAGAGTGGTGGCGGCGACTCAGAAGTCCATGGGACCTGGTACTTGGTTCTTTGAAGAACATTTCAGACAAGAGGTCTGCACACCGTACATCACCGTTCAGGAGTTTCAGGAGATATACCACATCTGCCACGTCACGTCTCAGAGCAAGGGGATGGAGTTTTAATGTTTCAGACAGTTCATCAACATGCACATCCAAGTACACATAGCCAAGTCGAACTCCGACCAGACGAATGAAGCGCCGCTGCAGAGACCAGTCTGGTTTTGGCCAGGGCTGTGTAAGGGGACCATACAGGGCTGGCGTATTCAAGAAGTTGACGGACGAGTGCACAAATAGAGTGATCGAAGAGCAATTGGGCTGTTGATTCCTCTTGAGAAGCGTGTGATGAAGCCGATCATTTTAGTGGCCTTACTAAGATTATGTCGATGTGGCTTGAGAAGCTCATGTCACTATCGAAGTAAACACCCAAGTCCTTTATTTTCTTGACTTTTGGGATTTGAATACCCGAGATCAGGTACTGGTATATTCAGCTGGAGACTTTGATCGGCAGAATGTTATCATAGAGCATTTGCTGGGATTGACGGACATGCCATTAGCACTGCACCACTCCTCGATTGCAAAAAGACTGTGCTGCAACTTCTGATGATCTCAGTGTGATTTCACTTCTGTAAATATTTTCAGGTCATCTGCAAATTGTAGAGCGTCGACATAGATCACGTCCAGGAGGTCGTTGATAAATACATTAAAGAGACATGGGCCCAGCAATGAACCTTGTGGGACCCCAGAAGATGGAGAGAACTGGGGTGATCTATGGGCCAATTTTCACTGATAACATGCGACCTTGCAAATAGCTAGACAACCAAGATAACAGCGGGCCAACAATACCATATCCTTCAAGCTTAGATAGTAGGATGGAGTGATCTACTCTGTCAAACGCTTTGGACATATCGATATAAATAGCGTCAACTTGTTTACTCTTCCGGAAGGCAGCCAGGACATATTCTTGGAATAGCAGAAGGTTGGACACTGTAGATCTACCTCGTACAAAGCCATGCTGAGACGGGTGAATGATGCTTGAGATGTGAAAGTTGAGCTTGTCTAACACGAGGCTCTCGAAGACTTTACCCAAGACAGGCAGGATGGTTATTGGACGATAGTTCTTTGTGTCAGCAGGGTCACCAGCCTTATGTATTGGTGTGATATAACCACTCTTCAGCGCCTCAGGAAACACACCTCTCTCTAACGGTTCATTGAAAAGTGTTTTGAGGGGCCCAGCAAGAAGGGAACGGCAGTAATGAATAACTGAAGGGGGAATATTGTCATCGCCAGCTCCCTTCTTGATATCCAAGCGCTCCAACTTATAATTCAGGTTGATCTCCTCTTTGCTAAATCTTACAGTTCTGATGGAGTTCAAGACTGGATAGTCATGAGTACTAGAGGAGCGTGAAGACGGTGAGTATACTGAACTGAAGAATATGGAAAAAAGGTTACATTTCTCTTGAGGATTCTTGGCTACGATTCCATCGAGATAAATATGGGAAGGTGTATCAGATGTTTTCCTCTGTGCTTTGGCGACTCCCCAAAAAGCTCGAGGGTTCGAGGATAGGTTCGCTTTTACATTGTACATATAGCGCTTGTAGCATTCTCGGGACAGAGACCTGCAAGCACCTCTCAAATTGGCAAACTCATAGTAATGGGCAAGATTAAGGCTGCTTTTATAACGCCTGTGAGCAATCTTCTTTTGTATGATGAGGTTTTTGAGCTCTCTACTAAACCATCTTGGGAAATGCGTGATGCCGAATCTTTTAAGTAGACTCGCACAGGTGGTTGCACTGCCAAGGATGCTCTGCAAACGGCTAAACTTGTCTTCCATCGGAATTTCCTGGTCGACGAAGCTCATGTCAGTTCGTTGCAGCGTGGCAAAAACAGATTTTGTTTTAACCATGGTCATACACAACATGGTATATTCATAGACTAACCAGCACAAGGGAGTATTTTTTATCTATGGTTTAATCTAGCTGTTCCATAATAAAAATACACAATAATTACATTACTGTAACATAACGTGAAAATTGACGAAATAAAATCTTACTCTATGATCCAGACAAACTCATTTTCGCGGGTAAAGAATGAAAACGAAAACAAAAAAAATACAAAAAGAAAATTTAAATCGTACGTACGTAGGCCTACACACACTACAACTAAACTACAGTATTACAGTACCTTGACTTGATACCTTCGACCTTCTTTCGGAACCAAGAACTTAAGTTTATTTTCTTGTCCAAACAAACCATAATCATAAATTTGTGTTTTGGATTTGTAGATATGGGCTTTAAAATGTATAATTACTTTACTAGGACCTAGTTTGTTTTTATTTTTGTAGATGAAAAAGTAGTTCTGTCATAGGCTAGGGCCTAGTGCGTTTTCTTTTCTTGCTTAGTTTCACTTTTCTTTTCACTACTAGGCCTAGTCTGTTGACTGTCATTACGAAATAGTGCAGTGACGCCAGTGACATCGAAATGAATTCAGAACAACAATTATTAGAAGAACTAAAATTGTTGTTTCCTAATTTCACGATAACATTACAAGACTTGCGAACACCAACTGAAGAGTTTGTCACCTCATTTTATTCGTTTTGGCTTACTGAATTCGAAGTCAACATAGCAAGCCTTCCACAGGTAAGTAAAACAGAGAACTTAACAACCAAAATAGTTATTGTGTTGGCCTAGCCTATCTATTCCTTTTTTTCTGTCAAGCCAACCTCAATTTCTGAAAGCGTTAGCCTAAAAACTTGTAATATAATATAGGCCTAAAGGAACTTTCAACTTTCATGTTTGAACAAGCTTTCATGTCTGAACAGACTTTCATGTTAGAACAAACTTTCATGTTTATCGATTTGCATGTTAGGCAGAACATTGCAATGGTGTTTTAGTGATGTCACTTGTAGGTAATATATCTGAATTTGACGATTCTTGTGAAGAATGGGACTTGTATGTACAAAGACTGGAACAATATTTTAGAGCTAATGACATTAACTTACTGATAATGGCATGAAGGCGAGTGTCCTAAGTTACTCTCTGTTGTGGGTAGGAAGGCTTTTAGAATTTTACATGATTTATGTCAACCAGACAAGCCTGGAGACAAGAAGTACAGTGATTTGGTATCAATATTAAGTTATCACCTAACTTAACTCCTAAACCTTCTGAAATAGCGGAACGCAAGTTTCATCATATTAGACAGGTAAGTGGCCAATCAATTTCAGACTATGTGGTCTCACTTCAAAGGGCCGCTAAACACTGTAATTTTTCTCAAAGAGATGTCTCCTTACGTGATCAATTTGTTGCGGGACTCCTTAGTGATGTGGCGAAGAAGAAGTTTCACAGAGGTTGATAGTGAAAAGTTAACTCTTAAAAAAGTTGTTGAAATCGCGTTAGGCGTGGAATCTGCTGACTGCTGACTCTCTCTATATTAAATCTAGATAAGCCTACTAATTTATTGTTAAATATTCCAGATCCAGTTCAGCCAGCAGACAGCTAATATTAGTGCTTATCCAGATGCGTATTCTGCAACAATTCCAAAACTGAACTTACTGGTCGCCATCAGAGCTTACAATGTTGTGCCTGATTTTGGGATGTTGGACATAATATCACCAAGTAAGCAACTGTTCTATTTTCTTTAAAGAAATTGTATGTTGGGTAGTTTTTTTCAAGTATAGGGGGCATCATTTACCTTGCAGTTTTTCCAACATCTAGACCTCTGTCCTGTACATGGAAAGTACCAGACAAAGGAAAGGGTGAGGTGATGGAATCAAGAATCAACTAGGCTTGTGATGTGACGACTCGAGTCAGGTTTTTGTCAACTAGGCTAGAGTCGACCACGAACTCGCACGAGTAAAGCCGAAGGTAGGCTACCCGGAGTGCACTATACACTAAGTTTTACACCATCTACTTGTATTTATTGGGTCGAATCGATTAGGTCAGTGAGTGTATAGAGCGGGGTTTGATTAATTTAATAGCCTTATGAATGACCCTATGATTGGGGGAATATCATAGTTTGAGTAATACTAGTTGAACTATGAACGCGTGGGAAGATGATACCAATCTGACAAGAAACCAGCTGACTTGACTCGACTAGTAAAACTAAAACATTATTGCCTCAAAGCGAGTTTGAATCAGAAAACTAACAGGTCGAGCATGAGTCTAACTCGCGAAACTAACACTCCATTGGCCAAAGCGTCTCGGCTAACTCAATTGTCAAATCTGACAACTCGAGTTAACCACGAGTCCACACGTGGAAACCGGCTGTGATCGGTCCGAGCCGAGTCGAGATGGACTTAAATTGCAACTCAATTTGAGGGTACGAATCGAGTCAAGACAAACAAGTCAGGAAAGTATTCAACTTGTCACATAACTAGAATCAACTGACAGGGAAAAATACTTGTGGTGGCACCAGAATCCTCAACATCGCTTTGATTTTTATATATTTTTGCCACCAACTCTGTAAAGTTTGTTTACCAAGTCTCCTAATTAAGTCTAATGAAAGCTAGAGCTGTATCTGATTCTAGTATCTATCAGGTACCGGTATGTAATTTAAACAAAAAAAGTAGTTTTAACTGTTTGAACGAACAAGCATGCCGGGCTAAAGCAAGACAAATAAAATACAAAGTTGGTAGCTACGTAACACTTTTTATTAAACTTTTTAAACTTTAATGTGTCAAGTGTAATTTGAGGTACTTTTTGAGTTTTTCTTCTTGTTGTTTTAACCCCCGTTTTAAATTATTTACATGTTTTTTTTATAACATTATTATATCCAGCTATTCATTTTAATGTTGCAGCTCCTAAAAGAATACAAACCGTCATCAGAGCATTCTGTGACTTCTATCAGTGGTGTGATTGTCGTATTGAAGCCATCATTGATGTGAAAAAACATAAGAAAATCAAAGAAAAGAAGCAACTTCTTGCTAATTTGGTGAGAGAAAAACAAAACCTGCAAGAAGAGTTAAATAATATTTTTATAACCATCGGACAGCTTCAGGATTCTAAGAAGGAGGTAAAAGTTTTATTGTGTATTGAATTGATCAGTGTAGCCTTTATTTATTTTCCTGTTCATTTCTCCAACTAGATTGTTAACCGTTAACGTAATAAATTTTAGTGTCAAACTTGAACATACATTCAAACTTAATCTTCAGTTAAACTTGTTAGTTGTTAAAGAAGCATAATGTGATGGGATCGACTAATATTGACTCTGTCTGTCAAAATCCCTATTAAAAAAAATCATAGGTCCTACTACTTTTAGGCCGTTTTGGCTTGAAAATTAAGCCATTCCCACACATCTAGTAAGTTATCTAATCTTAGTTAGGAATGCGAACGAAATTCGATGTGGCCACAATTGCAGTCTTTTGGTATTGGTAACGTCTCTACTCCATTTGTGTTTAGGGTATGCTATGACACACTGCGATGCCACTGCAATTATTCTGCTTGCACCTGGTGTATTATATTAACTTAAATCCATTGTTTATTTCTCAAATTGTAGTTCTCTTGGTTACTTGTATTTTTTATCTGCTAGCTCGATCCATGTGACCGTTAGATGCGACGTAATATAGCCTGATAGAATAAACTAACCCCATTGGTTTTTCCATCACACCACCTTCCGTTCCAACTGCTACCATGGTCACTTGACACTGTACCTCTAGTCGTCGTCATACCTCACCGGCTTCCACATACCAATGCGGTTTTTCTTAAAAATTAAAAATGTGTTTTATATGAGCACCTTTTTTTTCTTTGTTCGCATCTAGGTCCGGATGTGACACCTGGCATAAGACCGTTGCTCTTATCAACATAACAAAAAATATGCAAAGTATGTCTGTGATAAACGGTAAATAAACCATGAATTTAATTTTTAAAATAGGTTGGAGTAACCTACCCATCATAAAAAAATGTCATGCTGGTTTCAAAGTACAGTAAGCTTAAGTTTGGCTACTCAAAATAGTTTTAACATAGATTTATTTGTTAATCTAACCGCAGGCCAATAGCCATTGCGGATGCAAATTTTTGCCCCTGGCCTAAACAAAACCTACGCCACATAAATCAGTGAAGTGTTTTTACAGATGGAGGAAAACATGATGAAATATCAGCAATATGCGTCTGAGTTGAGATTGCAGAAGGACATTTTGAAAACTCAATCTGAAGAAGCCAATGCCAGGATCAGAGAAAAAGAAGCTGTTCTTCATAAAATCATGAAAGAAGATTCACAGGTCAGAAATAAGTAATATTCATGGTAGACCTATATTTGGAATATAGGCAAGTCATATTTATTTATTAATTTAACTTTACATCTAGGCCTATAATTGTCTGAATAGCACTATGGACCCATGAGGTCTTAGCTTCCAGTGCATCCAGTTCTAGATCCAAGATTAATGTTGTAGGTTATGACTCTTACTCTTTCAGACACCTTGAGACCACACCCATGTACAAAAATACTCCCGCCGCAGCAAACCTGCAGACTAAGCGAATTTCAACTTGTCTGATTACATTTTTACTAAATTATTTCCATAAATAAGACATATTTATTTCCTATTTAAATAACATTAGATTTAATGAGTGCTTAGGTTTGCTGCTACGGGAAGGTAAAAAGTGTTTTTTGACCATACGTCAATAGTATAGGATGAATTAAATAAATTTGCCAAATTTTATCAATATATATCCATAAACAAGTAAACTACAACAGTTTTCATTTTCTCCATAAGAATAACATAGGAATTTTTAATTACACTATTTTTAAATTTTCTCCGTGACCGTTAGGCATGCAACAGCGCTTCAATATACTAAATTATTTCTTTTTTTAAGCTCTACAAAATGGTTTAGAAAGAAATTGCAAATTTTCTTGTTTTTAGGGTCAAAAATGGGAAAAACCCATTTTTACCCCATAAAACCCCCCATAAACCCCCGTTCCCATAGTCCGATTATGCTGGTTCGCGAACTCGTTCGAATAAACATAGGTTAACACGTTTGTACCAAATTTCATCAAAATCGGATCATTTTTGTTCGAGTTATCGCGCTAACGGACACATATATATATAATATATGTATATATAATATATGTATATATAATATATATATATAATATATATATATATATATACATATATGAATTTGAACGGATGGTATTTTTGGCCTCTAGGGACCTCAAAACGAAAAATTATTAAATCGGTCCCGGGTCCAGGTCTTACCATGAGTACTACGGTAATAGCTTATTCCCTATATGGGAAATTCGCTAAAAGGCTGAACCATATCAAAGCCAGCCCAAAAATGAAACTGAATGTATGGATTCAAAACCACAGACAAACTATGTGTGCACAGTTTGTAAAATACAGGGTGTTGAAAATGTCTGGAACCAACATTATATCTGGTGAGTGGTTAAAGAAAAACAAATGATATTTTGTGTACGAATATACTATGGTTTTACCTATCTTTTGGTTTCTTATGAAAATTTTTACCACTTATAGGGAACGTCCTGTGGAGGATGCAGTAAAAAGTTTAAATAGAAGCCTATGGTAAATGATACATCATTTTAAAGGCCATTTTTTTCTGAGTAAGGAGCCACAAGTTTCATCTCAAAAGGACCACCCTAGCAAAAATGGCGACTGTTTGAAATTTAAATAACCACTTATAGGGAACGTTCTGTGGAGGATGCAGTAAAAAAGTTTTCTTTGAAGCCTATGGTAAATGATACATCATTTTAAAGGCCATTTTTTTCTGAGTAAGGAGCCACAAGTTTCATCTCAAAAGGACCACCCTAGCGAAAATGGCGACTGTTTGAAATTTAAAAATTCCGTTCCCTATAAGTGGTTTTTTAAATTTCAAACAGTCGCCATTTTTGCTAGGGTGGTCCTTTTGAGATGAAACTTGTGGCTCCTTACTCAGAAAAAAATGGCCTTTAAAATGATGTATCATTTACCATAGGCTTCCATTAAAACTTTTTACTGCATCCTCCACAGGACGTTCCCTATAAGTGGTAAAAATTTTCATGAGGCACCAAAAGATAGGTAAAATCATAGTATATCCGTACACAAAATATCAGTTGTTTTTCTTTAACCACTCACCAGATATAATGTTGGTTCCAGACATTTTCAACACCCTGTATATTGTAATATATAAAAAATTTAAAAAAATAGTTTGGAATTACTAAACTTGATTGGGTTTAAAATTGTTAGACAAGATTTTACTGTATTTTACTTTCATTCAATTAATTCTTACAATAGATTTCAAGATAAGAGGTATTGAATTATTACAGGGTGCAAGAGAAGATATTTAGACATTAAAATTAAATTTAAAATTGTGAAATACTAAGTAACTCATGTTTTATTTTCAATGCTTTGCAGGTGTCAAACAAAATAAAAGACTACTCAAACCAAATCGTCAACTCTCCAACCAACATTCTAACTGACTTGGAGACTCTGAAGGGGAAAAACGAAGAGATGAAAGTACTGTCTGAGCAAAAGCGAGACATGGTAGAGAGCAAGATGAAGGCCCAGCAGAATCTGGAGGAGATCCTTAACTCCATGGAGGGGAAGAAGAATCAGCTGGACGAAGTGATAAAACTTGTGGACCACCAAAGGTAGGCCTACATTAACCCCACAGAGAAGTATGGTGCAGTGGAAAATTGCTTATTGGACGCTCGTGCACTTTCAGCTCTAGGATGTTACGGTCTTTTAGTATCGAAAAATAATTAACAAAAAAACCAGGTTTATTAACTTTCAATTTTAGACTCAACTAAAATTAAACAAAAACATAATAATAATAATGAACAGTCATCTGACAGATGTTATAATAAAAACACATATGGTCTTATTTCTTGATACATTATAGGTCAATATACTTGTGACAAACAAGGAGAGATTTTCCCTTTCATTATAATTTTTAACTTATCATAACACACAGATCGACTTTTTATTTGTACCTAGGCGTATATAGGCTAATATGTCAGTTTGTGTATGCTTTTTTCAGGATATGTTATTTGCTTAGGCCTACCAGTTGTTAACGTACCAGCTCCGCAGCTGTGGTTGCTGTAGAAACGCTAAATATGAAATCAGCTTAACTAGAGCGAATTTGAACTATTTTGCTTACTGTTTACAGATGGTATGTTTCCATGCAGTGGTAGGAAAAATTAATAATGTAGGTTCAAATTAGTGAATTCCCTTTGAGCAACAACTTTTTACATGGCAATTTTTACTTCTGTACCTGGAAAACCTGGAATTGTCCTTGGAATTTATTTGTACGTCTCTTATCATCTTGTCTATTCATTTCTCATATTTATTTTCCAGGGAATTTGAATTTGAATTTAATGATTGAAATATATTTTCTATTGGTCTGTACAAAGTCATTCCATCAAATGCATAACAGTTTTCAATATCTCTGATATTTAATTTATACTCACCTAGTCATGGTCTGTCCATACAGAAAGCTACTTCATATTGTATCTGTTATTGAAAAGAATGGTATCGCTCGTCAAGAGGAACTGGAAGAGTTGAAGTCTTCTCTAATGTCCATTAAGAAAAAGAAGATCACCGGCCAAGAAGAATTGCAGGCTTTGGTGTTGAAATTCAAGACCATTCAAGAACAACTTATCCAGAGCATCGAGGCTGTACAAAGGTAAATAAAATGAGGGTTTTTGCTGTATCTAAATTTCCTTGATTATATGTGAAAAGGCTATCATGGATTTTTAAAGATTTCAGGTACCTATACTTTATATCCTGTTGGATCTGAAGACTGTTTTGATGCATGATAACTTAGCGTATGTTAAAAATATGTACCATTTTAAAGTCGATTGATGATGATTTATTTTACCAATCACACCCATACCAGTCATTTGGCTCAATATGAGGCCATGGAACTTAAGTTATAACTATAACTCTGTATTCAAACAAAAGCATGATACTAATATTTTGTACCCCGAGTTGGCCAAACCCCATTTTTAGATGCTTGGCTTAAAAATAAATTTAGGATGGGCTTACATCAGATTTTGTTAGCAGCTTGTAATCTCTTTACTGAATCAGTGAGTTTGATTTCAGTGAATTGAAAAACCTAAAAATCGCAAAGAGTAAAATGATCGATGGTCTGAAGGATGATGCAGAACTCGAAGAAAAGATCAACTCAATGATGGAGAAGATAAAGGCTGATTCCAAACCCTTTTGCAATGAGTGCGAGAAGATTTTGAACCAAGTAAGCCAACCACTAATTGTAAACGTTTGATAAACATTGTGTTTGTGTGTTATATTGTGTTAAGTGTCTTGTGTAAATTAACATTTATTTTTCTTGCAGTTTTATTTAGTAGTTTTAGGATTGTATTTGAAATCAAATGTTTTCACAGAGATGTGAATCTAAAGAATACAAAGAGATGTATTTAAGATATTAAAACATAATAATTTGTCATGGTAATTCTGTAAAAAAAAATAATTACCTCAAACATTTTACCTATTTAATACAAATTGGCACATTTACATGTTTTGTTACTTAGTGTTTTTGTTATTCATTCCAAAATTAGGATTCTACTATCGTTTGTTTGTATTCTTTGCTAGGATAATTAAGTGTGTTCTTGATTTTGCTAACTATTCTTAGTAAAACCATTGATTGTTGGATACAGGAGTAATCATGTCATCTACAAGGACCAGCTCTTGTAAATCTTTTCCTAAAAAAGAATGTAGTTGTGTGAACCCCATCACAGAATGTGCTAGAGTCTAAAATTCTATTATCTAACCCTATTTTTGATGCTGACATAGTTGATGGGTAAGACATTCCATTAGTTTGACTTGGTAGAAAACATTGTGTATTAGACAGAAATTAGTAATTTAGATCAGTGCAATCTGTCGGTGGCTCACATAAACTACGACAAATTTGATTAAAAACTGGTGACAACCTTAAACATGTGGATGGAGTGTCTAGTTGTATCAATAGTCAAAGGTGAAAGACAATATATTTCGAACTACAGGAAGTTTGAAATATAGAGAGTTTGAATTATGACGGTCAGAATAAATAAAATTTGAATTATGGAGGTCCTTGTTTTAAGTGTAGAGAGTTTGAGAGAACGGAGACTAATGAACACATCGTGGGAACATCAATAAGAGCGTCAGTTCATGTTTCAACAGAAGTATTTTTTGTCCTGAATTTGAATTACAGAGGCTTACGGTAACACAGTTCAAATCGAAAAGTTTAACTTCAAATTTTGGAGGTAACTTTTTGAATTACGGCAATAAAATTTGAATTGTAGAGGCTCGAGTATGTGCAAATTCAAACTTTAGAGGCTGCATTAAGCATATAAATCACTTTAAATTGTTGGTATATTATTTTTTTTTGAATTTTAGAGGTTTTCTGAGGCGAACAGACAAACAATACCGGTATTAATTATAGAGGCTGCAATGATTGGCTCTAAATGAATGGTTCGATCATTAGAATGATTGTGTTATGGTTTGTTTTTTTCTTATTCATGCTTTCACTTTTTTGTGACAAAAAATCTTGTTTAACTAACTATTTTGTTACTAATAACTATTGCCATATTTTATTCTTTTTCATTATCATATTATCTTTTGATCTGGAAATGTATGGGTTTAGGGGACTAAGTATCTCCCATCTTCACATATCCCACCACAGTTCATTTCCTTCACCATTCTCTATCTTAATTCTCTTCTCCACATCCTTCTTTACATAAGCCTTATTCTTATTCTAGGTCTTCACAAATTATATAAACACAATTTTTATTTTTTGTTTAAAAGAGTACAATGCTTGTTTGTTTGTATATTTTAGTTTTTTGATTTGTTTCTGTTTGCTAGGTGAAAGCAATCTATTCATTTTTAGTTGTAGTCTCTAGTGTTTAAGAAACTTTTATATATAGACATTATTGGTTGGTAAACTGATTAAGTAGTGCCTTAACTTGTACAAAATTTAGTTTTTTTTCTTTGATTAGTAATTGTGATCAACTTATGAACTGTTTTCAGGAAAAAGCCTATTTAAAAAAGATAAAATCAGAAGGAGAAACACAAATGAAGACTTTGGAAGTGGTAAGTTTTTGTTTGCACAGTAGTTTAATTTTTAACTGATATTCGTGAATTGAATACTTATTGCAAAGTAAACAACATCAAAGGACATTATTGATTTTATCAAATATTTTTTCAGAAAGTGAAAGTAGAAAAGATATCGCCAAAGAAGGAGTCTAAAAAGTAGACTCTGGTATGGGGCGGATTAATTTCTACCAGAGACTTCTCACAACCTCATCTTTTGTAATTAATATTCAATACTTTAAACTGTAATTTATATACTTTCATATTCTTTTGATAAATTAATTAAACAAAACCTGTAGTATATTTTATCGCCTCTACCCTATTTCCATAACCATAGGAAATCTGTTTTGTTTTTCTGAAAGAAATAAACTTAAATTTTAAAATTAAAGTAAAATTAGGGAACCCATCTTCGAAACTCATGAAGATACTGTATTAATCATTAGGCCTATATAGTTCATAACACTAAACAACTCCCTATTAATATCTACTGTGCTGAAATAAATTTACATTTCAGTTTTGTGAAAGAATAAATTAGTTTGATGTTGTCTCAAAATTATGTGGTACCAAAGAAGGAATTTTCAAAAAATATTAAGATTAAGAAATATACTCTTTGGTTGATGGCCCTAATTGTTTTGACGGTAGAACTAATTACGGCAGATTTAGCGAAGGCACCAGAAGCCAGGTGGTGCAGTTTTTTACAACGTAATACAACACTCCCACCCTTCCCCTCCGCCACGGCCGAGTAAATCAAAGGAGTTTAATGGATCTCTTTACAGGGTCTACTGAGCTTTAATAAACAATTTATGTCTTTTCTGGCTCAAACTTTACTGCTTATTAAACTTTCTTTAAACAAGTATTTTATTTATGATAAAATAAACAAGTTCTTACCACTTTTTAAATAATCATTTAAGTTTGTCAACTTATTTTTGGATATCTTGAATATTTTCTACAATGTTTGTAATATAGCCTAGAAAAAAATGTTTCACAATTTATTTTAAAGTTTTTTATAGCAATACAACAGTAATATAAACTAATAGGCTTACCTACAAAAAACAGTAAAATGGTGTACATAATAAGCCATATTTTATTTATATATTTCAGTAAAGTTTGGGAGCAAACAAATCACGAAGTATAAGGTAATGGCCGCCATGATGGTGTGGTCTATTGTGTTTTGGGCATTGTTTATGCTCACATAATGAATGGACTGCGCCAGGAGAATGACTGAAATTCCTTTGTCTACACAAAATCAGACTATTAGTAAAACATGACTTATGAACACTTAATAAATCTATTCCAATAAAAATACAGCTTTACACTACATACAGTTAACTTATGAAGTGTTTTGTTATTTTTATGTTGCCTTAATTCTGATACCTAACAAAAATTTTTCAATTTTCTAATTTAAACCTGTTATTTTTTTTTTATAGCATATACATTTCTCATTATTTGGATGACTTTTAACCCTCTCATATACCTTATTCTTTACTTTGATTACATTTTTATGAAATTATCTTTATATGAAATTATTTATGCCCAGTAGTTTATGTTGCATATTCTTTGTAAAAACGTCAACACATGTACTATCCTAATTTCTGTCCTGTGTTTCTATTGGTAATTCTTATTTGCCTAATCCGAGAAAACTAGGACACACATTAAGATTTAAAATTTTTCTGTATTTTTACTGAATATGTGAGATTGTCTAGCTATCTAAAATTGGCCTAAATTATTTGTAAAAAACTATTGAATGTTAAGAAACTATTTTGGGCAGTATTGTACACAATTTCTCATAAGTATTCAATGTAATTTATAAATTGCATGCAATCAATTGTGAAGAGAAATATTCTTCCTGTAAACATTTGTATTCAACATTAAATACCTTTTGAACATGTTTTATATTAAAAGTTAAATCCTGAAATATTTGACTCTAGAAGAGCCTAGAATTCTTTTATAAACTTTACTCCAATGTGAAATCTCCTGCAATGTGAAAACTTTGCGTAATCCTGAAACATGGTGTGATGAAACTTTTACTTCCAGGATAAATAATCTAAATTGTATCTTTACCTGCTGTGCTTAGTACACTTTTACTTTAACACAAAATATTAAGTAGTTGTCAAATATTTAAATTAGTTGACTGGGGTTTGTAGCTTTATGGTTAAACTGTAATACATCTTTTCTTGTAAAATATGAGCCTAATTATGCTATGAATTAGTTTTCTTTTGCAAACTGTTAAGCCACGGTTACACTACACATGACTTTTCAACGCATATTGCAAACAAAAGTTTGCAATAATCCAAAGAACCTCAGTTTTTTCGTTAAAACATGTCAATGTGCTTGACATTTTTTTTTTTTTTACTACAGAAATTTTGTTTATCAATTATCAATTATTTTAGATGGGGACGCCACTATGTGCGTATTTAAACCCAAATATGAGTAAAGGATGATGAGTAGCGCGATCTTGTAGTCTTGTTAGTGACTAAGGCCGACATATTCCTTAGACATAGCTGTTAATTAATAGCTCATACAGCTAATGGCTGCTAAGGGACTTACAGTTTATAGTGGAATACGAACCACATTTATGCCTTGGTATTTACGAATTGGTCTAATTATTAGGATAGTACTGCAGATAGTCGTAGTACTCACTAGTGCGGACGTTAATCCACACCAGGGAGTAGAAGATAATCTCTTTTAGGATGTGGAGAGGTGGAGGGAAAGAAGAATTTGCTGGCGTTTAATATTCATACTTTTACTTTAATACTTTAATAATTTATTATTAAATGGCGACCATACAAAGTAGGTATTTTAAGCCAAGTCTGAATGGAGATGAGTGTAAGATGAGTGGCGCGATCTTGTAGTCTTGTTAGTGACTAAGGCCGACATTCCTTAGACACAGCTGTTAATTAATAGCCCATACAGCTAATTGCAACTAAGGGACCTACAGTTTATTGTGGAATCCGATCCACATTTTTGCCTTGGTATATTACGAATTGGTCTACTTATCAGGAAAGTACTGCGGATAGTCGTACTCACTCGTGCGGACGTTAATCCACACCAGGGAGTATCGCATCCACAGTGCATGCCTATAAATATCCACAATTCGTGACCTCCTAGTAGCTGGATTACAGGACGACGCCACCCGTCCCAGTCAAAACACAAGTAAAATTAGTTGTTGTTTGTTAGTAATCCACAAGTTTCTTTTGACTCTCTTTTTGTTTTCCCCTTAAACTTTAACGGGGTTGTTAATTTATCATTGTACACTCTTAACACGTTCGCTACTGCAATAGTACAAAATGTTCCATTCACATGGACCAGCGACGCACATATGCGACGGCCGGTTTCCACCCATAGACTGTCGTCGCATATATGCCTCGGCTAGTCACATTAAAATAGACTGCCGCTGCATATTTGCGTCGGGGTTCTAATTTTATTAAAATGCTTATATCTTTGTAGTGGTCTATATTATGAAAGCACTGAATTCCCTGCAGTGGTCTACGGAGATGTCTGACGCAGAACTGCGTTGCTTGGTCTGTGAATATGATGATTGGTGACGTCATATAATAGTTGGAAAAACTGTTCTTTACTTTTCTTTCTGCATCACTGTATGTATGTATGCAGTATGTATGCTGCATTATTCTATGTAGCTTTTATATTTTTTCAGTTATAAACTGCTCTTAAATACTCTGTTTTTTTTTTTTTTTGTTTACTTACTTTCACCTCAAAATACAAAAAATTAACTGTCGCATATATGCGACGTTTAGTCTATTTCAAGAATACTATGATAATTTTCACTACTGTCTTCGCTGTAGAAGGGGCGTCGCAAATATGCGACATTACAAAAGGTTATAAAAAATACAAAAATCAAGAATTAATTATTTACAAACATGATTGTAGCGTATTACAATACAATGTAAATGATCACTGTTTTACAGGTTTTCACCCGTGGTCTGTGTGTACTGTTATCCAAGTGTTAAGTTGTTAAGTGTGTTGTAAGTTAAGCCGGTCTATGTATAAGATTCAAACGTATACCTCAGTCTGTGGCAATGACCGCGGCGTCGCATATATGCGACGCTCACTAGCGAACGTGTTAATAGGCTAATATTTCAATTGTCTTCAAAAATTCTGTTCCACTAAATGCATTTTCCAACTAGGAAGGAACTATTACTGTAGCCTTTAAGTAAAGCATAGGTTCGAGACCACTGAGAGATTTCGTTTAAGGACACTCAGTAACAAGAACAGCGTTAGTTCAAATAGTTATGGAGGTATATTACTCGTATGTTCAATTAAATGTAGGTAGAGAACTCTCGCAAACATTTTCATATATTGAAAATATTTCAATAGAAAGTCGGAAGCGAACCTGCTGATAGAATGATGAAAAGAGTGCTACGTGTATTATGTACACAACAATTTTATTTGTTTTTCTACCCAAATATTTGTCCTGATAATTAATTGTCACATTGGGACCTACAGTTTATAGTGGAATCCGAACCACATAAGCAACCAAAGTAAATTTTCATTAAAACATCATTATCAACAATTGACTTGAGCCTTCGAACCATATGGCACACAGCTGTTAATCTGGGCGAAATTTGTTGGATATGATCCTGCCATTTAAGATTGTCACTGATGGTTAGAGTACTGCGGATATTCGTATCATTTACTAGTGTGGACGTTAATCCACACCAGGAAGTATTGCACCCACAGTGCAGCCTATAAATATACACAATTCAAAATTATAAATTTTTCACATTAAGTCAGAAACATATTGTTTTTTTAGTACTTACACTATAAAAGTTACACTATACAAAATTTTTTGTCGTGTTTACACTGTAGTATACTACAAAATGTGTAAAACAATGTAAAACCACAAACCATATGGGCTTGGACCGCTTTGACTAAAAGCTTTGTCTATACAAGTTTGAAAAATTTTTTTGTAAACTCAGGTGTACACGTGGCTTAACACTTTTAATACCGTACAGAGTCGCATTAGTATATATTTTACTAAAAGTTTTTTTGGAAGCCTCTTCAGATGTATCAACTTGAATCTGTTAATTGGACAGCAGTAAAATTTAAATTTGAAAATCTACATGTTGTAAACTTGGCTATACAATCTTGACCCTACATTAGGTAACACAAGTTCACTGGTTTTTTAGTCTATTTTTTCTAGCATTAGTCTAAACAAATATATTTTCTCCAATTGATAGGCTACCGTACTGCAGATAAATAATTAGTAAGCAGCAAACTCTGACAAACTTTGAATGCTGGAGGCACATCTCCATATAAATGAAACCACAGATC